TACAGTGAATTGGCGAGTCATTGTACAGAATCGTCCGGTTCTCTCTAGAACCGGACGATTCCTGTTTTTTTCGTCGATTCGATTCGTCCATGGCGATTTTCGAGTCGAACCGGGCAAGTCCGGTTCGACTCGGCGTTCTTTTAAACACTGGTTTGAAGTATTTTATTTCCAACAGTTTACTGAGATCTAGATCCGAATAATGTTTGGGTCCAAGTTTGGACCCGGATCCGACCCACCGGGTCCAAATGTTGTATCCATGCCTGGATCTATATTAAGTATACCTGGTTGGTCTCGAGTAGGGTTCGGGTCCATTGCCACCCCTAATTTGTGTTTGTTACTTGTAATCTCGTATAAAGCATGAATTTGGAGATTTGAGAACGAAGTCTATGTTGTGACTAGGGCTGGCAATGGTCCAGGCCGGTATCGGGTTTGGTACAGGTTTCGGGTTGGGTTGGGCCGAACCGATGGAAAAGGTAATATTTGCCAGGCCAAGCCGGGCTTTTAATGGGCCAACCCCGAAAATGGCTCTGATCTTCTTATTTGACATATACATGATTGGTTTTTCTATTGAAAAAAAATGGATTTTAAAAAATCAATTTGTGGCTAAAGATATTTTTTAAATGTTTTTAAAAAATGAAAAAATTTAAAAGAAGTCAAAACAAATTTCAATCTTTTGACAAAATGATAAAAAATATTAAAAAATCTATTACAAATAAAATCCTTTATTTTTTTAGATTTATATACATATTTTTTTTAAATACGAAGCCGGTGCCGTAACAGGAACCTTGCCGTGGCCGGTTCCGATTAACGGGCTGTTCGAATTCTAACCGCCCTATTTTTCCTAGGCTACTTCCGACCCTGCCGAAGCGCTTCGAAGTGACGGTGGGGCTTCTGTTAGTGGGTCGTCGAGCACATATACGCCATCGAAGCTAGTGGGAGAAGGCTGGGTGCTAATCTCTTGGCCACGAGTACGGGTGTGGGGTTTGGTCCTGCGAGCACTACTTGCAAGTAGAAGTGGGTTGGCCTATGTCTCTCCAGTCATCTGACGCTCTGGCCGAGAAGAAAAACAGCAAATTCCATGGTCGGTGTTCCTCTCATCTTTCATATATCTTGAATTGAGTTGCAGAGGGGAGAGGCCTACTCTTTCATGTACTTTAAATAATCCCCAATTTCTTAATGGTTTTATTGGGTTGGTCTAAATAAAGCCGAGGATCCGTGGCCATTTAGTCAGTCAGAGGCTTTAAATGAAGCCTATCAAGTAAACGCCATCGCCACAAACCTCTTCCCCTACTACAATTCAGGTAAAAAAAAAACTGAAAGCCCATCTCTAAAATATTGAAAGAAAAATAACCGATCTCAAATCCTTCATTTCAAATCATTTTTCAGGCCTAATTCGAGTTTTTTTCCGACGAAACAAGAAACGATTCCGGCCATGAACAGAGCAGTGATCAGTGAACAAGAGAGAGTGCGTTTCTAGAGCAAGAGAGGGGCCGAAAGCCTTGTTACACACAGTGGCCGGAAAATCACATGATTCCTGCCCACCGTGGTTTTTTCAGCGGGTTCCTCTCATTTATTGATGAAGAACTTTCTTTTATTTTCTTCAGCAACATCAGAGAGGTTTTATCTAAGGCTTGATCGCCATGGGAGTATCAAAGTAATAGGAGCCCCAAAAATCACACACTCCACCCTTGGGATTCATTGCAGAATGGGTTTTGAGAGAGAATGGGTTATGAGAAAGAAAAAGAGCGATTGTGTTTGCAAGGGAGATTGAGTTTTTAGAGAGATAGAGAGAGGGGGCGGTGGAGTGAGAAAATAAGTTTTGAGAAGGAGAGGATCGATAGAGAGAGGGGGCGGTAGGGACCATGTGTGCTCACCCTTTTCAATATTTTTTATTTTTTAATATATGTTAAGAGGTTTTAATTTTTTTAAAATATTTTAGCATATGATTAAATGTTTTTTACTACAAACAATAAAAACTTGAAAAAAGATATCTTTTTTAAAAAAATTGAGTTGGACCGGGCCACAGCCCAATACCACTAAATTCCTATGGGCTGGGTCGAGCTTTTGCGTGATATATTGAGACCAGCCCGGCCAGGTTTTCTGCCTACAATTGTTGGCCTTTCTGGGGGCGGTCTGGCCTGAACGCGACCTGGTGGCAGCCATAGTGGTAAGTACAGAAGGGCCCACTGGAATCCTGCGGTGCCCGGTCCACCATGGGCCGTACATCACTCTTAGGTCCTAAATTAAACCGTAAGGGTCTCAACTCACCTCATATATTTTTCCTAAAGTGGTATGGACAAAGAACTTCCCTACTCTCCTTTTACTTCTTGTTTCTTTCCTTGTTTTTGAGGAACATAAGGCAGTATCACCCTGGACAGAGTAAAGAGTTTTCCAGAGAGGTTTTGGATGGCGTAGCTCGCACTGTGTTTCATTGCCCCGGTCGCTGCGAGCCGAGTAGCAATATGCACCTCGAGCTGCATGGCAAAATGCGCCTCGGGCCACACACTTCTCCCAGCCTCCAGACGTGTCGGGGGTCTCAGGAGTGCCGTTCAGTTCCATTTTTGTTTCATCACAGTGCCCCCTAGAACTCTATGAAGTTGATTTTCAGAGGGGATGGGTAGGGTAGCACTAGTCTGTTTGACTGGCCCCACGAAAGGCACCATAACTGTTTATAGTAAAAACATTGGTGGAACCTCTCAGACTCGCTCCCTGATTTTTTTCCAAACTTTCTATTAACTCAATTCAACAAATTAGTGGTTCCTATCAAATTATAACCCACAGATGAATTAATCTCAAAGAGAGATCAACCCCTCTGCAGATTGCTGGCTGTGCCAGCAGATCAGATGTTCCAAAAAGGAAGGAAACTTAGGAAATATATTATATATTGTAAAGCAGGAGTGTAACATTGTTCTAAATCGAGTAAATGACCGTAAAGATGAAAAAAATGGAGACTTCTTATTCAAAGCCGGGTCCGCTAGCCTGAGAGTGAAAACCCAAATCAGGCTGCTTTAGCGTGATTTGCCTTTTGTCGTGAGAAATTGGGCTAGAACCACCTTTAACCTTGAGATGTGGTGTGGATGGGATGCTAAGTCTAAATTACTGTTGTCATTAACTCGGGGATTTCTTGAGTTTAGTCTTGTCGCTCATGCTTGTAATGGGTTTCAGGTTACCAGGGAGTGCTCAAGTTTAGTCCTAGGCTAAAGGCTTCAGGGGAGTGTGAGGGTTTGTCTAAATGGGTAAGAGGGAGGGTTGTTTGAATTTGATCGTCGAAAAAACCCCCCTAGAGCAGTCAAGAGTCACGTATTTATCGGAAAATCTTCAACCTAGTGAAAGAATCCGGGCCATCGGATTTGCACGATTCACTATGAGTGGGGCAAATAACCTTTTGCAGAAAGGAAATTACACCAGTCATTATAATTGTTTTTATATAATCTTTATCGCTATATATTGAGAATGACTATGGATAACTTTAACCTCGAAACAACATTTTAGGCAGCATCTCATCTCGTGGACCCGTACAGCGCAAGAGGTGTGGATGCCCTTCTCCTGTTTTGTATGGCATAATGACTATGCCTTTGCTACATGACCTTTTGCTGATGAACTAATAGGCCCCAACTGTACTTTCTAGTCCATTAGTGGAGTCATGCTTAAATTAGGCATATGCTTACACCCATCAAGAAAATGGGTACTTATTAGTGCACTACATTATGTTTGTGTCCGCAACTATGTTTTCAAATCCGGACTGGACATCAAACCATTCCAGTTCAATCAGTGGTCCAACCAGTTCTCAAACCTATTGGATGAAAACTACTTAAAAATCATGAGATTTATTTTAAAAAATAAAAAATTTAAATGTGCTTTAGAGATTCAAGTTTTTAGCAGACCAAACCGGTTTGGGGTACACTCTGATCCGATATAGTTAACATTTATGCATAAGCAACACCTTCCATCATGAACCCCAGTTAGATTCATTTATGGCAACTTTTTTGTATACACAATTCAAACCATTCAGTATCTCATTTTAATCATTCATCGAACATTGAAGACCCTTGTGGTTTGTGCTCCATATGCCCTTGCACACAGTACAGTAGCATGGCACTCACGAACAAGAGCTTTGCTTCAAACTGGAACAACTTGTTCGTTAAGGAGAAAGTACACAAGGAAATTTTCATCAATCATAGAATCATTCTAAAATGAGATAGGAATGAGATTTCCTTAGTAGAGAATAATGATTCTTCACATAGTTACCGGGAGCGTCCTACTAGGGTGGCGCTCCCTCTTCGGAACCCAGCTCCATCGCTCTGTAGCCGAGCTCCCGACCGGAACTTGTTCGCTACTTTTTGGGAGCTCGTTTCTATATTTAAAATTCTCGATCTCGTTCACAATGGAGCTCGCTCCCAATACTGTACGGAACACCTTTCCTTAATTTGAGGATCTCGTTCCTAAATAAATTAGATCCCCGCTCCCAGAGTTTTAGGAGCGCAATCCCTACATTTTCGGAACTCCATCCCTATTTTCTCGAAACATCCTAAAAGAAACTTCTTAAATAAAATTAATATTTAAAATAAAACAATTATATTTTAAGTCAAATTTTTATAAAAGTGGAGTTAAACGTGGACTACTTATGCACAGAACGCGATCCTTTCCAAACAGGAACATGGTCATTCTTAGATGAGGGCGCGCTCCTGTTGTCGATGGGAGCATGATCTTAATGAATATGGGAACATGATCCCATTTGACATGGAAAGCATTCCCGTTAAATAGGGATCTCGATCTCAATGTATTGAGAATGTGCTCCCTATTCATATGGGATCTCGATTCGCTACTTTTACCCTCACCGGAACTCGCTCCGGAGCTTTAGACAGACGTCGCTTTGACGCTCCCGATAACTAAACTATGGTCCTTCAAAGTGAAACAACTCATTCGTTAAGGAGAAACAACACGATGAAATTTTCATCAGTCAAAGAATCATTGTAAAATGAGATAGCAATGATATTTCCTCAGTAGTGGATAACGGTTACATTGTAGTAGAGTACAGCATTCCCAGTTGTTGTATCTAAGGAGTAGGTTTGTTTAAGAATGTAGCCATGAGCGAGGCGGAAGGTTCCACTACCTCCAATAATCGACAGCTCTCTCACCGTATGCAAAATTGTGTTCCTTCCCATGACAGTGAGAGTACTACCATTGAACTTGCCATCTGTGAATACGAAATTGACGGCTTCGAACAGACTGATCTCACTTTGGGACGAGGGAGCATACAGGCCTTGCGCCTTACCAATAACTTGTGATGTAAGCTCCGGCCCTTCGGTCAGGGGGTCATCCACAACGACCACCTGGCCAAAGAGAGTGGGCGAGGACTTTGTCGTGTTGGCTTCTGCTACGATCACTGCCGTAGGCTTCTCTGCGACGAGGAGGTCATGCATGTAGAATTCGATCTGGCTCACTTTTGGTTCCCCTAGGCCTAGCTTTGCTTGGCAAATGGGCATGGAGGAGAAGAAAAGCAGCAATGAGGTCATGCCGGTGGCTAATGCTGCGTTCCCTCTCATCTTGGATTTAGGTAAAATCGAGTGAGATTCTTGATGGAGGTACTTTCTTTTATACATGTACCTGTCTTAAACCTCCTTCATTATATTTGGGAAAAGGGTTGGTCTTGTGGATGCTCAAAACGTGCAAAAGCATCTTTCAATTGTTCGGATTGAACGAGCCTCATCTAAAGGCCAAGACTGAATTTTATTTTTTATTTTAAAATGATATTGATGTGGAATTTGGGATGTAACTACATTTTCATAATTAATATTAATAAAAATAATAAAAAATATTTTGAACAAGAAATATTGATCCAAAAAAATTTAGCGGTATTTTGGTTTTTTTAATTATTTAAAATACGTTATAATCATTTATTTAGTTATATTTATAAAATCTAACTAAATCTAACTAAATATAACTAAAATCTACTAATCATTACTCAAATATTCATAAAATCTAACTAATTATAACTAAAATCTATATGTTTTAATCATTACTAAAATATTTATAAAATCTAACTAAATATAACTAAAATCTAACTTAAAATCGTGCTAAACATAACTAAAATCTACTAATCATTACTAAAATATTTATAAAATCTAACTAATTATAACTAAAATCTATATGTTTTAATCATTACTAAACTATTTATAAAATCTAACTAAATATAACTAAAATCTAACTTAAAATCTAACTAAGTATAAATAAATACTACTAATCATTACTAAAATATTTATAAAATATAAATAATTATAACTAAAATCTATATGTTTTAATCATTACTAAAATATTTATGAAATCTAATTAAATATAACTAAAATCTAACTAAATAAGTTTTAATTATTTATTTAGCTATATTTAAAATATGAGACTAATTTTTGTTGTTGAAAGTTCTTTCCGGATGAGAATTTGAGGCGAGGCTTTATTTTATTTTCATAAAGGCTAGGTCTTATAGAAACTTATCCTACTCTGTGATGGTCTGAAAATTTATTTTCATCTCTAATTATAAAATTCAAAACTTCAAAAGTAGTGTAGATTGAGCAGATTTATGAACACTTGAAAATCTTTATAATTAATTGTCTGAAAATGCAATGCAAGATGCACTATTTCTATTACTTGAAATCCAATTATACTAATGTCCATACATCTTGAGGTCGAGATGGTCAAGTTGAGGATTTTTGGGCTTCAAAACAACCTCTTTTAATGAGTTTTAGAGGAGTGTCCTAAATTGATTGTTTAGAGCCTCGCACTTATATAAACTTTTTTTTTTAAGTAAATGTATATATTCATACCATATACTAGAGAAGAGAGAGTAACTATTTACTCTCAATGGAGTATACTATCTATTTACTTTATTGGGAGTAAATATACTTGAAATCCATTTTTCTCATGTCCATACATCATGAGGTCGAGATGATCAATTTGAGGATTTTTGGGCTTCAAGACAACATCTTTTAGTGAATTTTTCAGATGCATCTTAAATTGATTATTTAGAGCTTCACACTTATATAAACTTTTTCCTTTAAGAAAATGTGTATATTCATACCATATACTTCTTAGCCCATATTCTTCTTTCTCTTATTTCTTTTCGCTTTGTTTATTTTTTTTCCTTGCTCCACTATTGCTAATGGTTTTGTGTATTATAGTTTTTTTGTTTTTATAATTTTTTATTAGTAAGTGATATTCAATTTATTGGAGATATTTGAGCATATAAAGGAAATTGAGTAAGAATACAATAACAAGGTATATTCCAATTGTTAGATTTGGTGATATCCAAAATTACCCACATAAAGAAATCCTATATTATGTGGGATTGATATTGAGATTGATATTGATAAGTTTCTTAAAAGAAATAAAAATCCAAAAAAATTAGGACTTTTATGTATATCTCTTAGTTTCTGAGATATATGTAACAACTATATATATTTTCATATTTAGTGTGGATTCTTAACTTTATATATATAGAATGAAAGAACGAAGAATTTGTATGTCCTATTTGGATCACCATATGTGGTTTCCTTAAGAGAAAGAGGGGGGCAGGGACCTCCCATGCATGAGATACAAGGTCTCCCTTAGAGAGAAGAGAGCTTCTTATGGAGAGAAATATTGTAATTGTACTTCATATAGATTGAGAGGCTTATTTCTTGTAGAGAAGTGACTCTCATGAAGATTTTAGGTGGTTTCCCCTTTAAGTGAGAGAAAGTCTCAGTTTGTCGTTCCCGTAGATGTACCCTTTTTAGGGAAACTACGTAAATATTTGTGCTCTTGTGGTATGCGTGTTTCATTCTTTATTTTCGTGTTTTATTTGTCAAAAATCAACCCATCAGGTTTAAAACTTCTGCGCATAGCAAGTGGTATCAGAGCCTGGTTTGGGGGTTATCGGTATGGTGGTAAAGGTTTTGAATGCAAGGTTTGAGGTGGAAAAAATTGATGGCAAATACTATTTTTTAGCAAGAATGCTGAAGAAATTTATTTGAAAAAATTTGAAGAATTTATGAAGTTATCCAATGGATGTTGGCATGATGAACATGTGATTTTGATATTAAGGTGGAGATTGTTGGATTTGGTGATATCCAAAATCACCTATATAAAGAAACCCCATATTATGTGGGATTGAGATTGATATTAGTAAATTTCCTAAAGAAAATAAAAATCCAAAACGATTAGAACTCTTAGGTATATCTCTTTGTTTCTTAGATATATGTAACATTTATAAGAAGTTTCACATTTAGTGTGGATTCCTAACCTTATATATGTGGGATGAAAGAGCAAAGAATTTGTGCGCCTTATTTGGGTCACTATATGTAGTTTACTCTAGAAAGACAATGTCTCTTTTAGAGAGAAGAGAGCTTCATATAGAGAGAAACATTATGATTGTGCCTCATGTAGATTGAGATACTTGTTTCTTGTAAAGAAACGGTTCTCATGAAGATTTTGGATGGTTTCCCCTTCTAGTGAGAGAAAGTCTCGGTTGCTCTCAAAGTTCTCTTTCTAGACAATGCTTTAGTTATGGTCTGTTCTAGACAGTGGTCTACTTATCGGAATAGAGATGAGAGATCGACAGTGGTGCCGTTTGGGAGAGTAGGTTTTAAAGGGTTTGCTCGACTAGGGTTTGTCGAGGGTTCGAGAGGTAATTATGTCCCAAAATATATGATGTAACTTTCATTAGTATAGTGGATTTCAGTGTGTCATGCTCGTGGATATAGCTCTTTTGGGGGGAACCACTTAAATCTTTGTGTTCTTGTGTATGTGTGTTTCATTATTTATTTTTCGTCTTTTATTTGACAAAAATCAACCTGGTTTAGATCATTCGCGCACAATATCAATTTTGTGCTTAGCATATCTTATTGTTTATCTATTGTCAATAGTTCATCATTCATAAGTTGATTAGGTTATCGTAGCAAAATAAAAAATAAAAAATACTGTTAGTTGAAATAGAGTCGCCGCCTTTCCATAGAATATGCATAGCATATTGATGGATTTTAATGTGATTCAAAAGGCACATAGATATATATGAGAAAGTCGTGATTGTTTATTCTATTTTACATGTTGCATGTAATCCAGCTAGTATTTATAAAAAGGTAGAAATAATGTCTGTACATAATTTTCATGTCTCGATAAACAAGTGCTAAGATGGACCTCTATTTAAAATTTGACCCATTTTTTTTCCTTTTCGAATTGAAAAAATTTGACCTTTTTGCAAGTTCAGAGCTTCCGCGCACAACACCGACTTTGTGCTTAGCATATGTTATTATTTATCTATTGTCAATTGTTCATAATTCATAAGTTGTTTAGGTTACAGGATTCTAATAGCAAAATAAAAAATAAAAAATACTGTTATTTGAAACAGAGTCGCCACCTTCCCATAAAATATACAAAACATATTGATGGATTTTGAGGTGATTCAAAAGGCGCATAAATATATATGAGAAAGTTGTGATTGCTTTCCTGTCTCGATAAACAAGTGCCAAGATAGACGTCTATTTAAAATTCGACCCCGTTTTTTTTTCCTTTTTGGATGGTAAAAATTCGACCTTTATGCAAGTTTCTAATGGGAGTTTTATAAGTATACCACAAAAAAAAAAATCATACTCTCTAGGGGAGGATATTGTAGATCTACTCTCTTGGTGAAAGTCCACTTAATCTTCAACCTTGCGACCACTGACCAACCTCGAGAGAGAAAAAGAAAAAAAAAATTGAAATCCATGCTTCCATTATGTGTGCATAAAAGAGTAATATCCCAATATTGAAGAGAGATACTTATTAGTACACTCCATTACATGTGTGTATGCACCTATGTTTTTAAATCCAGACGGGATAGGATACTAGGCAGTTTTCTAGTCTAGTCTAATTCAATTAGAGGTCCAATTGAATGAAAATTGGTAAAAATGATGGAACTAGTTAAAAGAAATTACAATATTTAAATGTGTTTTTTTCTAGATCCAAGTTTTTAGTGGACTAAACCAGTTTAGGGTCCAATCCGATCCAATTATGTTTAACATTGTATGCACAAATAATACCTTCAATCATATATGACACAATGAACCCCAGTCGATTAATTTCTGGCAACGTTTTGTATATACATGAATAGCAGCCATTGTTTATGATGAACCATTGACACTATTTTGAAAGTTCGACAAGGTAATTTAGCACAATGTATATAATTTTTAATTTTAAATTTTCTCACCGACTAGAACACTTACAAAAGTTCAAGTACAATAAAACTCCCTTGAAATAAAAAAATGAATGAGCAAAAGTGGTTATCATTTGCTGCCACTAATTAGAACTTCATTTATTAAATGAATAAAACCAACACAATGCTTATGAGAATAAAAAAAAATAAAAAATAAAATACTGTAAATTACAAAGCAAGATGCCGTAAAATTACCTCAACGGA